AATGAATTCCGGTAAGCGAGGACCCTGCTTCTAAGAAGGACTCTCGTCTCGACGCTCGGATACCGAACTCTAACACGGCACTTGGTGTCTACAGCCGACTGAAGGCCCAACTCCACTGATCAAAAACTTCAAATGACTAGTTGGTACTAAGCCGAAACTAAGCCGAAAACTAAGTCGAAACTAAGTCGAAAACTAAGTCGAAAACTAAGTCGAAAACTAAGTCGAAAACTAAGTCGAAAACTAAGTGATTTTCCGTTTTTGGTGTGCTCTTTTATATTGTTAGAAGTGGTGGTGCTGAGCGGGAAAGGGGGTTGACCTGTCAACAGTTACCGGAATCGTTTGAATTGTTCTAGAACTTTCGATCTAATAAGATATTATTAGATTTTACTGTTTTAAAGGGCGAAATTGCCGAATCTAAATGTTGACAGGGCCCTCTTAGTCGCTCCGCCCCTGTGCTGCATACTGTGCAGTCGCTGTGCGCGTTTATTCGCGTTACATTCCGCCGAATGATGTTTTCTCGTTTTTATGTATAGAGTTTGAGTATAGAGCGTTTGTGCGTTATTTGTATCGCGAAGATTCTAACGGACTCCCGCAGGTTTTGTTAGAAGTTTTTGGTGCACTTGCGGATGCCATTCAGCTACGTATTCTCGATCATAAGCGCAGTATTAGCCGCTTTCTGAATCGGCGCAGTCAAATTTGCAGTTGCAATTACTGAATTTAAATGAAATAGATTTATTGATTACTTTAGAATACTGCGATAGATCGAGAATAGCAGAGAGCTTCTTAGTTCCCTATGGTTTATTATTCAATATTATGGGGTGCTAATTCATCTAGCTATTAATTTAAACGGATTTTCACGCGATTAATTATGTTAGGTCGCGCAAGCGCAGTACGGTTTAGTAACAGCTGTTTGATCACGCGCTAACCGCGTGATCACGGTTCGCGAGGATTTCGCGGCTGTCGCGACAGTTCGCGTTGCCACGGCAACGCATCTGGCGTCGTTAGAAGTGACGTTCGCCTGCTCGCAATTTTCGGCGGACGTTACACTCGGTATTCCGCCTTATAATGTTCGTTAAATATGTACATCGAGA